CCGGAGGTTTACTTTAGGTAGCTCCCTCAATTGTCCTCCACCCCCACCTCATTTGGAATGGCAGGGCTTCTCCCTGAACCCTGCTCTTACTGTTTAGGCTAGGCAGTCCAGCAATCCCTGGGAATCTGCCTGTCTCTGCATGCCCAATCCCAGCACCAAGGTTCCAGGCATGCACTGCCACCCCAAAATTTTGATGTGAGTGCTGGAGATCCAAATTCAGGTCCTCATGGTTGCATGACAAGCACTTTAGCCCCTGAGCCCTGGCTCCAAATGTACTGTACTAGATGCTGATGGCGGTAAACATTTTCTGCACAGCCAAGAAAGAGCTAAGTGTCCCTCAGGTGCTGGCTCACACATTAGATTCAGACCATTATCCTGGTTTCCACCTTAAGGTCTACAACTCCTAAAGAGATCCAAGGGATATTTTGTTATGGGTTACTGTATCTCTGCCCAGTAAGTGGCAGCAGCATGCTCCAATATGTGCTCATTTGGAGATAACCCAAGTTCAGAAACACTGAATCCACGTATGCAAATGAGATACATAAGAAAGAAAAAAGGCTGGGTGAGGTGCAATGTGAGGATGTGTGGCTGCAGATGGCTGACCGTCCTTCTGGGATGGTTGCTGTTCTCTGTACTCTGTTATACATGTTGTGTAGCATTGATTGTCATTCATTTCATAGATCTGTTTGTGAATCATGGATTGAGGTGGTTGGCGTATAGCAGTGAGTTTGGCGGTAAGATTCAGAGAGCAAAGCTACTTATTTATAAGTCAGGTCATACCAACAGAATTTAATAGGAACAGGTTGGCCCAGGAGGGCACCGTGATGCTTTCTGGAGGAGATAGCAACTCAGGAGTTGGATCATGAGTGTGAGAGAGTTAAAAATGTCTCACACCATTGGCCTGAGAGCTCCCTGAAGCCACAGTTCTGTCCTCACCTTCCAAATGACAGTCTTCTTCCCCACGTTAGTCTCCTGCATCAGAGCCTCTTCCATTTCCTTCCTCACAAGTTCCAAAGCTGCTTGGAGCATCCTCTGTTTGGGAAGACAACACAAGACCACCGCAGATGAACTCTCAGGCGGCCTTTAGTTTACTTGGGTGTAAAGTACCAAGAGCAGCTGGGGAGTCCCCAGCTGGCTTTGCTCAGTACTCACTAACCTCAGAAGATACCTTTGGCAGATACCTTGTCTGGTGCCAGACACCAAGATGTACCTAAGAATTTTTCATTATGTTACTCTTTCCAATGTAAAAATGTGAGGTGAAAAGATAAAGAAACAATAGAACACAAATAAGCTGTTGTAGTATATTTAATGGTTAGAAATACAATTATGGTGATAGTTGTATTTTATAAAATATAATGCCAATTTTGAATAAGAAGATGTTTACAGTGAATTTATAAAAAACTATGATGCAGTAGAGGAATTGCCATCCACTGTTGATAGATTGAAGTATAATGAAATTTCTTATTTATTACTTAAGAGCTTATTTTTTTTACATTTTTTAGTGTAAGTGTGTGTGTGTGTCAAGAGTGCCAGAGACACATGGAAGTCAGAGACAACTTGCAGGAGTTAGTTATCCTTCCATCATGTGGGTTTAGGGCTCAAACTCAGACTGGCATGTTGCCAGCAAGTGTCCCTACCCAAGGAGTGGAGAGGGTATAACAAAAACTTCATTTCCTTCAGCAATAGGACCCTGCAGGAGGCACATATGTATACTTGATTACAGAGAACACATACACAAATATGCTTTGGGAAGGAAAATACATGAACCCCACCATAAAAGTTAATCAATAAATCCTACATATACATGGCTCCACTAGAAAGGAAGCTGCTATAGAGCTCTGTAGAATGTGCATATAAAACAGCCTTGGAACTTGTGGTAGTGCCTGTCAAGACTGAGGTGGGATTTGTTTTGCTGTGGGAACATTTTGCTCTGTCAGCCCCAAGAAACCATGAGCCACACCAAGGATGTGACAAACAGCATGGCAGGCCCAGGGGACAACAGTGACAGGGCGGATTCTGCTGGATCTGTGTTTGGTTAGGATAAGAGCTGTGCACGCTTAGCAGGGGCCTTGGACAGCCATAGCTGATTGGCAGAAAGGCCTACATAGTGTTTATTTGGCATTTGATTGAAATTTAAAAAAAAGCCACAGAATATTTATAGAAAATAGTATCAGAAATGTCTGGCTAGCCAAGCTGTGTGATGTTTTCAGGACTTACACAGGTAGGATCATAATTTTTAAATCTGTTTATAAAAGTACCCATGCCTGAATTCTTACAAAACCAAGAGGAAGAGAAAGATTTTCAGTAAGTTGAGAAAAATACCCCAATTTTTAATTTTAGAGAAAATAAACCAGCAAACATCTTAAGAAGCCACTGCTCCTTCCATCAGGGTGCCAACGGAAGGAAGACCACACTGGCATCCCTGGTAAGGGTTGTTCAGGAAGTTGGAAACTTCAATGCACTTAAAACGTTTCCGGCAAATTTGGAGGAAGATGAGTGCTCAGCCTTCTGCGGTTCCGAGGTGTAGGGGCGCATAGGGGGATGTTAATACACACTGAGACTGGAAGCAATAGGGAGCCCCTCTTGGTTGAGCAGCCAGCAGTGCTCTCAGCAGGGGGCGAACCACAGGCGGCAGCCCAGGCTTAACAGAAGCCCAGCCCTGGGGTTCCCAGGGGCAAAAGCCTCAGGCAGCTTAGGTGAGTGTGAGCCAATAAAGATGGGGAGACCAGGGAAGGAAGGCGCCTGGGAGTTACTTAGGAAACTAGTCGCACCTTTTGGATCTGTTTGGAGAATTAGTCCCTTCAATTCCCAGGTTAACCTGCCCCAGGTTCTCCCTATTTTCCTCTCGGGGACCTGAGCAGAGTCTCACCTGGTAGCGGCTGGCAGCCTCCTGCAGCGGTTCAGTGCGGTGGCTCTGGTGCTCAGGGCTAGTGTCACAGATCCAGCACAGCATTGCCTGATCTTCCTCGCAGAAGCGGCTCAGGTCCTCACCGTGCCTCGCGCACTGGCGCGTCCCGGGGTGT